ATATATAAAAAATGCATGTGGGTACTCAAATGAAAGGTTTTGATGAGTATAATATCGGGATGAGCTTATATCTTTAAAAACGTCAATATTTAAGAAAGTACAGTACAATTTAACAAAAATAATTAAATTAAAATAATGTCATTACTTTACAGTGGTCCGATGACTTAAAAATGTTACAACAATACTTTAAGATATATATGTACTTTGAAAAAAATGTAAAAAAAAAATTTTTTTTCCTGACTTACAAACCAGAATGACCTTTTAATTAAAAATAAAATACGGAGTCTTAATAACACAACATTGTTATATTCCAGACATTCCTCGAAGCATGTGGCGGCTTGTTTGCAATCCCGTGTACGTGGTAACGTGCCTAGGAGCCTGCATGGAGTTAGTTATTGTCTCGGGTTTTGTGGTTTTTCTGCCGAAATATCTCGAGACCCAGTTTAGCTTGGGCAAAAGCCAAGCGAGTATATTCACCGGTTCGATAGCAATACCAGGTGCTTGCATTGGTATATTTTTCGGCGGGTGTCTTTTAAAACGTCTGGAATTAAGGCCAAAAGGCGCGGTACAGTTTGTACTGGTATCAAATATCATATGTTTAACTTGTTATGGATTATTATTTTTCCTCGGATGTGACAATGTCAAAATGGCTGGAACAACAATACCATATTTCAATAGCAGTACAAAAGGCCCTGAGCCATTTCAGGTTAATCTCACTGCCTCATGCAATTTTGGATGTGAGTGTCGTATGAATGACGTCGAACCTGTTTGTGGTAATAATGGTCTCACGTACTTCAGCCCTTGTCACGCTGGTTGCACTGACTTTAGCTCTAAGTCTAATTTTACTAATTGTGCTTGTAAGTATTTTTTTTTTTTTAATTAATTAATATATCTCTATTTAAAATTTTTTATTTTATTTTATACACGGAAAGAACAAGATTATACTGGATATAATCCCAGATTATACTGAGTGAAAAAAAATTTCAGATAGTAGCTAATATAATTCAGATAACAATGAGTATAATCCAGATTACAATGAGTATAATCGAAATATTATTCAGTATAATCTGGATTATACTAGCTACCATCTGAAATTTTTTTTTTTCGCCTCAGATGTCACTGAGTATAATCTGAGATGGTATCCAGTGTCATCTTGTTCTTTCCGTGTAATAAATATATAAATTTCAATCAAATTAATTTTAATTATTTAAGGTATACACGGAAACTTAGCAATTCCAAGATTACCAGCCGAAGTAACAGCAATTCCTGTTGCTACATCTGGACCCTGTACATCACCTTGTAAAACAATATTTCCGTTTCTCATTTTATTATTTTTCATGACATTCGTTGTAGCTGTTACACAGATGCCACTGTTGATGATTGTACTGCGGTAAGTATTTTTTTTTTTTAATTTTTAATTAATGATAGAGCATAGTAAATTTTGTAAACAATCTAAATGATGAAGTGGAATTTTACGGTGGCACATTCAATGCATTTACATATAAATTGTACAGTCTTTTTCTCATTTTTCTTTAATTAATTTTCTTAATTAATGTCATTTAATTTTATATATTTTCTTTTGATGTATATTGCCGATAGGCGAATGTTGATAAATAAATAAATTAATTAATAATAATAATAATAATACTAAATTAAATTTTAAAAATTAATTACAGATCTGTGGGCGAAGAAGAAAGATCATTTGCACTGGGAATGCAGTTTGTCATCTTCCGACTGTTTGGTTACATACCAGCGCCAATACTCTTTGGAAATTTAATAGACTCGACGTGTTTACTCTGGAAGAGTACTTGTGGCGAAAAGGGTGGTCGCTGTTTACTTTATGACATTGAACAATTTAGATATAGGTATGTTTATTTATATCAATTTTTTTTTATTTTATTTTTGTTACATATATATATTTAAGTATACACACGGAAAATTTTTTATTAATTGAACAAGTAGTTTAAAAGTTATACTCATATTTGTAAACTTTCTTTTAAGACTGTCTTTTTAAACTTAATGAGCGGAGTTATAAAAAGTGGCTGATTAAATCAGTCTTTAATTTTTATGAAATTTTTTTAACTACATTTTCCAATAATTGATCTAAGAATTAAAAATTTCGATAAATATTTTAATTTTATCCAAAATTCAAGGATAAAATTTTCATTAAAAAATCAATAATTTTTTTTTATTAAAAAAAAATGTTTTCTTAGTTGTATTTTCGAGCAGTTCATTGAAGGATTAAAAATTCCGATAAATATTTTTTTTGACAAATAATTTAAGGCTAAAATTTTCATTTAAAATCGAAATTTTTTTTATTATCAATTCGTAGTTATTTAAAAAAAAATATTTTGATAATTCCTTTGATTAATCAGTAGGAAAAATTTTTTTGGATTTTTTAATTTTCATGATTTAAATTGAAGATATTGTTTATGATTAAAATTGAAAAAAAAAATTATTAAAGTTCAAATTCACTCATATATGCATATTAATCAATTTAAAGAGCTCTTCAAAAAAAATTATTTTAAAATAGCTTTTTTCTACCTTCTAAGTGCGAATAATTTTGAATGTAAATTAATAAATAACATACTATTAAAATTCACAGATACGTTGGACTGTGTGCTGGAATAAAAATTCTAGCATTAGCGTTATTTTTAGTCGACTGGTGGTTGGTGAGACGAAGGCACCAGCTTGAAGAGTCGCCTAAAGGATTAACCGTTAATGATATCGTCGGCTCTATTATTAGTCTTGACAAACGTAATTACAATTTTTTTTATTCTATAAAAACAATTTATTAAATTGAACTAGACAGCATATCTAATATATATATATATATATATATATAATATTTAAATGTAAAATTATTTAGTGTTCGAAGAGAAGCCTCAGCATCTTAATTTAGCGGAGAATGATGCAATGACGCAGAACTCGACAGAGCACACACCGTCCTCGATCTCATCGCCAACCGAGCAAACAAAATCAACAAACTTAGAAGAAAGTGAGTCGACACACTTGACCCAAGGCTCGATGGACACGACAAATCACTCGAAACTACTCGCCGATTTTTCAGACACCAGGCAAGATGACGACGTTGAATTTAGGCCTCTTAACAGTAAATTTGAATCTAACGACCGTCACGTTTAATGACGGTTTCACTCTAGATACTAAATTAATTAATTAATTTTTTTTTTTTTTATTCAAATAAATATTTGTGGCAAATTTTTCAATCAGCTTAAAATTAAGCTCGACATTTTTTTCTACATTTATTTATAAATTAATATTTTTATTTATCACAGTGTTTAGTCGGATTAATAAATACAGACACAATCTTAATATACATATCATTGTCACGTAGCCATTATTTTGAGCTTATTAATTTATTTGTCACAAATTAATGCTGACGTAGCGATTACATACCTATATATATATATTAATTAAGACTCAATGCAATTTATTAAAGAGGTCTGATCGCTTTTATTTAAACTTAAATTTTCTCAAAAAATTTGTAATTAAAAATTTTATTTTTAAGTATTTTACTAAAATTTACATTTTTTTAAAATAATATTTTAGAAATAACCCACAAAATTTTTAATGTTTTTCTATCCATCTTTACAAACTTGCTCAATATTGATTAATTTTTTCATACATAAATTTATTTAGAAAAGGAAAAATTTAGTATAACTAAAAAAAAACCTTTTGAATTTAAGGGGGATAGCCACTGTGAGGATCGAAAAAATAGGGAATTTTTTTTAATGGGATAATAAAGGAATTTGGGAGTCGGGTTTTTTTTGCTTTATAAAGTATACATTGAAGATCGTTCTCCTAAATTTTTATTAAAAAATATCATGTTGTTACAAAGTTATTAACTCGAAAAATATTCGGAATTATCATATAAAATTCTAGGTACATATTCTTGAATATATAAACTTTGATTCAATAAAACAAAAATTTTTTTTAATTTCACAGTGGCTATCCCTCTTAAAATTCATAAAAAATTTTTTTTTATTTTTTGTTTAAATACTAAAAAAAAAATTTCTTACTCAGCGATAAGACCTCTTTAATCACTTCGTAATATGCAATTACAACTTCTAATTTTTAAATAAATTTATTTCCCGATTATCAGCTTGTCTCGGACGTGTAGCATGAAGTTTTGTGTTTAGCTTTTTTAACTTGAATCTCTGCAATTATTATTATAAAAAAAAAAAAAAAAAAATTGATGTAAGAAAAGCACTACACTATTTTTGTTAAAATTGTCGGGCTAATATTAATACTAATGACTAATAAATAAATAAATAATAAATTGAGAGAGATCCTGGAACGATGCACAAATATCTTCCTCGTCTGATTCAAGCTTCAATAACTAGGCTAATGAATTCGAGTTTTGAGGCGAGATTAAAGTTATTTAAATATTTAACTGTAAATATATAAATTCCTGCCTTAAAAAACATAAGACTAGACATTAATTAAATGTAACTATAATTGTTAGGCTAAAGGTATATATGATATGGGAATTTATAATAAAATAAATAATATATAAATATATATTATTTCAATGCAGAGATGGTTTGTCGTATATCCATTAAATTAAATGTTCTCAACAATTAGTCAATATTTAGTGATAGTAAATGAAACTACAAAAAAAATATTTAAAATATCGACTAAATATTTAACTGGGATTGTTTGTGTAATAGAATATCCAAAATTTATTTGTCTTAGTAAATATAATCGTACTTCCAAGTCTAAGATCTGTATTTTGCGTTTAATAGTTGAAAAGTAATTAGCTCAAGAGGCGGTCATGTACCTGAAAGCCTCTCGATTTAATCGAACAAAAAAAAAAATTTATAATTAACTCAGGAATGCTATTCATTGTGAATTGCTCGAACAATGCAAGGCAATGTTCTTAGATTTAACACTAAAGAAATATAATGATTATTTAGATTTAATAATCAACTCTTTATAGGCTAATTATTTACTATGGAAGTATTTTTTGGACTATTAAAAATTACATGTTTTATGATCAAAATTTTTAAATGTATAATTTAGAATTAAATTATTAATTAAGATTTTTTTAAATATCAATTTTTTTTAATTATTATTTTTAATAACTTTTGGAAATTTATTTTAAAGTTTGGTCCATTATTTACAAGTTGGGTCCATCATTTTAATTTTCATTTTTTTGAACGAAATTTTTTTTTGAAAATTTTGATATTTTTTTTTTGAAAAATACATAAAAAAACAATAAAAAAAAAAAAGTTTATTATCACAATTTTAACAAATTTTCAAAAAAATGTGATATTTAACTTTTTTTTTTAATTGTTCGTTTTTTTATGTACTTTCAAAAAGAATAAAATATATAAAAAAAAAAAATAAAATAGAAATTTTATCCAATAACATGAGCGCCAAAAATTTTTCCAACTTTTTCAGGCAAAAAAGCTATCGAATTTTTATTTTTTTCTTTCACGATATGGCCAAAAATAGGGTGGATAATTACCAAAAATTTATATTATATAAAATTTAATGTTTCTTCACATGAGAAGTATAAAATTTTGAAAAAGTGCTTGAAGGGTTGATTATAGATTCTCCTTAAAGTAACTATGAATTAATAAAATAATTATAATAATAATAAATATTATATAAAAAATACGATCTTCTGCATATTAATACAATCTGTCACTTTAGAATGTAAAAAAAACCTCACTGTCAATACTATTTGGGTGGTCGAGCACGAACTAGTGCGATGATAGAGCAATTATATGCCTTGTAAAAGATTTTCGGGTGCGTACTGTTATGGAAATTGTTTGTGATAAGTTTGATGTCAATTAAAGCAATCGTCTTTGAAAGAAATTTGAAATGATTGTATATTTTGTAAAAAATTTTTAATTATTAGACTTAGTCGGATTTGATCTAAAAATTTGATGAAATTTACTTTAAAATAATTTTTTTGATTTTAAAAAAATTGTCATGCAATAAAAATTAAAAAATTTTCACGAATTTAAAAATAAAAAATTGAAAAGATGATTGATTTAATTGAAAGAAAAGTTAAAATATAGAAACCGAAAAAAGTGCTGTGAAAATGGTAATTGAATGTTAGAAATATTATAATCAAACCGACTAAAAAAAAAACGGCTCAATATTCATGGTGTTGCGTTTTAAAAAATATATAAAGATATCTATTAAAAAAAAAAAATAAATAAATTAAATGTATATAAATGATAAATATATAAATATAAATTATAACAAAAAAAAACTACAAGTTTTTTTACGATGCGTGAAATTATAAAATTGTAAACTGCCGGCGCTAAAAGATCATGAGCCAATAATAATTTAAAAATTAACTAAAAATAATTTCATAAAAAATAATTATATGTATGTCATTATTATTATTACCAACAAAGTTACTTAAATACTCATTAAGAGAAAAAAATTTTTACCATTTTTACGCAGAAGTTTTATTATTACCGTGCGATTGTACTCTTTATTATTATTATCATTATAATTGTATCTATTATTACAGTAGTTAATTTTTAATTAAACAATAAATTAGTTTTTTTCAAACTATCAACTGTCAACATTCCAGTGTCAGCAGTAAGTGAGAAAAAAAAGAGTAAATAATAAATTGATTAATGAATTAAGGAATTATAAATTTTAAATAAAAATAATTACAATTAATAATTAATAATTATTAAGAAATGTTATGTACATAGATATTATTACTATATATTATAGTACATTGTAATGTAATACTGCTTATAGATATATATCTATATATAATATAACATAAATTAATATATATATATATATATATATATATGATATATGATATATGATGTAATGTATTTTTTGTAGGGACCATAATTATTAAGCTGAATAATTTAACGATACAATAATTATTAATGCGTATTTAATAATTAATAGTTGAATGGATATAATTGATTTATTAAGGGGGATAGCCACTGTTAGGATCGAAAAAAAAAAATGAGGGAATTTTTTTGACTGGGATAATAAAGAAATTTGGGGATCGGTTTTTTTTTTGTTTTATAAAGTATACATTGAAGATAATTCTCCTAAATTTTGATTAAGAAATATCATGTTGTTACAAAATAAAATTTTTTTAACGTCAATTTTTAAATAAAAAAAAATTAACATCTGAAATAAAATTTAAAGCTTCAATATTAATTGAAAAATTCATTTTCAATTGAAAGAAAATACAATAAAAATTTAATAATTTTTTAGGAAACTTCAGAAAATTCAATTAAAATTTTACTTGCAATTAATTTCTTAATTATAAAACGTTGAACTTAAAAATTGAACAAATATTTTTTTTTTTTAATTTCACAGTGGTTATCCCTCTTAATTTAATAGATAATGAGTTGTGGAAAAAAAACTGACAATGAATCGAGGGTTTAATAGGTACAAAAAAACAATTATTTTTATTTTTAGATTAATCTTTAGGCCAAAAATAAATAATTATTTAGCAATCGAGAATTAAAGGCCTAGAGAATTAAAAATAAAAAATTATTTTGTTTATTTGTAATTATACGGAGAGATTTTATTGAAATTGATCGTGAACCTGAATGTGAATTACGAGTTTCGTTTGTAGAAACTTATTGATGTGTGATAATGAAAATTAATTAAAAGTATGCCTTAAATGGATAAAATAAAATTGAGCTGATATTAATAATTATTGATATGATGATTAATGGAAATTTATATTAATGTTTACAGAAGACAAAGTGTAAATTAATTATTAATGATTAATGACATTGCATGTACGGATTATTGTCGTTTCGTAGATTTTTTTTTTATTGCACGCGCTATTAGTTAAGTTTATTAAATTAAATTAATAGTTCCCATGTATGTGGTGCGGTTATTTTTATTAAGGTTTGCTTATCTAGGTAACAAATTTATTATTATAATTAGTAATTATTTTACTTACTAAGTAATTACGCTAGTGATTTTATTTTAGGTAAATTTTAATTTTTTATAAACTTTTTAAAATTTTAATCTTGGATTTTTAAATACGTATTGAGTTTTTGATGTTTTGTAGATTCATTCAAGTATATTTGAAGTAATGAGTTTTTGGCTAGCATAATTACTTATTTTAAATTATATTAATTAAGCTACATATTATTAATACTGAAACA